CCCCGGACCCTTCCAGCCCTGGGGCTCCAGAGGCCCCACCATGCGGACGGCCCTGTGGGGTCGGTGAATCCCCGGTGTGTGGGACAGCAGGACTGGCCGGGAGACCGTTCGAAGTCTGCTCAGCTCCCGCTCAGCTCCCAGCATGCCCCTGCCCTCACGGAGCGCAGTCTGCGGGGAGCCTGAAGCCTTTGGTCAGATCTTCCACCAAGGATGGGAGGCCGGCCTGGTGTTCAGAGCAGGCAGCGTGGGCCCAGTCTCATTTTTATGTGGGCGGCCTGGTTCCAGTCCCTACCTTGTGTGGGGTGCTGGGCAGATTCTGATGATGAGTCCTGCTGGGGTCCTGCTGGGGTAGGCTGGGCTTGGCCCCAGCAACCACATGTGACTTGTTTCTGGTGTCTGTTTGCCACTGTCATGCCTCCCTCTCTCTCTCTCTCCCTCTCCCTCTCTCTCTCTCTCTCTCTCAGCCCTCTTCAAGTCTGCATGTGGATGTTCCTTTTCTACTTTTGAGCATGGCTATATTGTTTTATGTTTCATTTCTCTTTACTTTGGAGGTAAAAGGGGCCAATTCTAGCATGAGCTTAATCTTCCATGTTGTCCCACGAGTCCTGGAATTCCTCACCCATCTCTTAATTTCCCACTTAGCACTGAGGACACACATCATAGGCTTCTGGTCCTGGACCCATCAGTAACCAGCTGGTGATGAGGACAAGCCCCTTCCCCTCCCTGGGCCTCCTCTTTGGTCTGTAAACTGGGGGAGTTGGAGGAAGGGATGGGGAAGATGGGAGCAGCAGGCTGCTGGAGACCAGTGACACCCCCACTTATGTGGGATCTGGAATTTAATCCTTAGCAAGAAGACTCCACTGCCTCACACACATGGAGGAATAGGCAGCCTGATATCACGGAGACAGATGGAGAACTTTAAATCAGAAATAACTAGGTTCTAGTCCCACCTTGTACCTGTTTGGCTTTGTGACCTGGAGCAAAATGTAATCCGTGAACTTCAGTTTCTTTACCTGTGACATGGGACAGCAATATCTGTCCTCCCTGAAGGGAGAGGGGCTATTTCAAGGAAGTTGTGAGATAGTGTGTACAAAAAACACTTTTCGCATCTAAAGTCCTGTGTGCATGCAAAATGTTATCACTTTGCAGCTTGGGCTCCCTGGGAAGCAGATTCTGAGACATGTGGAGTGTTCCGGATGTTACCAAGAAATGCCCTTGGCGGGGTGCCTGGGTGGCTCAGTTGTTAAGCGTCTGCCTTTGGCTCAGGTCATGATCCCAGGGTCCTGGGATTGAGCCCTGCATCGGGCTCTCTGCTCAGCGGGAAGCCTGCTTCTCCCTCTCCCACTCCCCCTGCTTGTGTTCCCTCTCTCGCTGTGTCTCTCTCTGTCAAATAAATAAAATCTTAAAAAAAAACAAAACAAAAGAAATGCCCTTGGGATCAGCACCTATGGAAGGGGGGAGCGGGAAGCAGGATGGGGCAGAGGAGAAGCCAGGCTGTATGTAGTCCTCAAAACCTCAGCCAACTCCGTGGGGAGCTCTGGAGTTAAAATGTCCCCTTCGCACTGTCCTCCATTGGGCCACAATGGTTGGGCTTCTATATTCCCTCATCACTGGGTGAGGGCGTCTCTGGCAGGGAGGACCGTGGGCAAGGCAGCTCTCTGTACCTGAGACTCTCTGCCTGACACAGCTGACAGCCCTGTCAGCAGTTGGGACAAGTTTTTTCTTGAAGGAAGGTCTGGTGGGGGGGTCCACCTCCACGTCCATCTCTTTACTTTGTTGCTTACATGGTCATACCTAATGGTCAGGCTGTCCTGATCAAAGACTTGATCAGGGATCCTGACATTCTGGTACTATTTGTTAGCTCTTTTTTTTTTTTTTTAAGATTTTATTTATTTATTTGACAGAGACACAGCGAGACAGGGAACACAAGCAGGGGGAGTGGGAGAGGGAGAAGCAGGCTTCCCGCGGAAGCCTGAGGCGGGACCTGATCCCAGGACCCTGGGATCGTGACCCGAGCTGAAGGTCGATGCCTAATGACTGAGCCACCCAGGTGCCCCACTATTTGCTAGCTCTTGTTACACATTTTAGATTCATGACTTTAGTCTTTAATTTCTGAGGAAAGAATGGGAAATTCCTCTGCTGTCTGCTGTGGGGCCCAGAAAACTATTCCATCTGGCTTTGCCTGGGAGCAAAATAGACTCTGCTGGAACTGGCTATAAACAGGAAACAAAAGCCAATGAATTGATTTAATTAAAACATGCTACGTGTGTGTACACGAGGGTGCACATGTGAAGATGTATATGCATCTGAACGTGCATGATGACAAGGACAAGAGAGAGGCTGCAGGGGCAGGTGTCCGAGGTAGACATGCCCCCAGGAATTGGTGGGTGACCTTCTCAGAAGGTCATTGTGTGTGTGTGTGTGTGTGTGTGTATGTCATTCATTCATTCATTCATTCTCCAGTTCCTTATGAAGCAGCTATAATGTGCCGGACGCCGTGCTGGGAACTGGGGAATGAGAACAGATCACACAGTCTCTGTCTCTGGAAGCTTATCGTCTTCTGGGGAGAGAGACGATTCAGTGTGGGCATCTGGGGTACAGTGTGGTAAGAGCACTAACGGGGGCACCATGGGAACTCCCAGTGGGTACCCAAATCAGACTGGGGGAGCAAAGGCCGACATGAGGCCTTCCCTGGGACAGGAGAGCCTGAAGCGGAGTCGTGAAGGCTAAGTAGGAGTTCCTCAGGTGAAGATGATGGGGGAGGAATGAGGAGCAGCGCTTTCATGTGCAGAGAGAACCAACAGGCAAGGAGGTCAGAGGATAACAGTAAGGGCGGGTCAGAGGACAGAGAAGTTAGTGGGGGTGCAAGGGGGGCAGAGATCAGCAGACCCCTGAAGCCTTATGCTTCCAGTGGGGGAGTGTGAACTTTCTCGTGAAGAGGGAGTTGACAGCCCTGGTTTCATCCTAGAGGTGCTCTCTGGTGGCGGTGGGGGCCAGTGGAGGCAGAGGGATGGCAGGGCCCGGATGTGTCCCTGTGCCCATGTTTATGAGGATGTATACACAGGACTGCGTGTGTGTGTGTGTGTGTGTGTGTGTGTGTGCGCGTGCGCGCGCACATCTGGAGTCTGCACCAGCTGTGTGGCCCCCATGGACTTGTTTTCCACTCCCACCTTCTGGCCTTGGCAGCCCCGTGGACCCAGGGGGATGGCTGTTCTGCCGCTGACTCAGAGTGAGGGCCATGACGGGGGAGTTGGTCAGGGGCTAGCCCGCAGGTGTTTCCTCAAGGGCTGTGGTCCCAGCCCTGCCCACTGGGCTAACAGTGGGGTGACCGGCAGGCGGGCAGGGAGTGAATGCGCTGCCCTGTCTGTGCAGAGCACCCCACTTCTCTGGGTGAGGCCGGGCCGGCGGCCAATGCCTGGCCCAGGCCCATACATCTGGGAGGGCAGCATCCCCTGGGCTGGGGGAAGGGTTGCCATGGGTCAGCTTGCCCTTACTGGGTCTCCTCTCTCTGGCTACCCACTCTTCAAGTGCTGAAGTCATATATTTTGATCTTAATTGTCTAATAATATGCTTAACTGTGCTATCATGCCTCTTGAAAATTTATGACCAAAAAAAACCCCATTTATCACATTTCTTTAGCCCTTAATGTGGGCCACAGGAAAGGGCCTTTGGTTTTGTAATCATGTAAGGTCTTGGAACTGTATGGTGAGTGATTATGAACTTAGACTTTAGAGTCCAAATTTCAACGCTACACTTACTATATAAGCTTATTCTCTCTGTGCCTCAGTTTCTTCATTCCTAAGACAGAGATGATAAAATCTCATAGGATCAAAAGTGTAAAGTACTTAAAACAGTGCCTGATGTACAATAAATATTCAGCTCTAAACCTTAGCTATTATTACACAGGTTTGAATTCTCCTAGGTGTAACCCTAACTCATCTGATGAAAAGTTGTGACCTTTTTGGGTCTCATCTGCAAAAAGGAAGGGTTGGCCAATCTTTTACTCCCAAGGACCAACACCTGTCCCCCACCAACTTGTTCTTGTTCTGACATGCATTTTTGCTTTTGAAAGATTTTGCATGCCAAACTTCATTTGTTAAATAATAATCTGTATGTCCTCAGGTGTCTCCTGAGCTTATAAAATACTGGGAATGGTTCCCAATGCTCTTATTGAGAAGGCCTGGATCAGGAGAGATGATGTGTGAGGGACTCGCCCTCCCCTCCAGTTTCACATACTGGCATCTCCACAGCAAGAAGCAAGTGCCTTCCGATACTTCTGGGCCATAGAACAGGTAACCCAGTTGACCCTGCACTAGAAGATGCTTCCCATTGGCTTTTGGAATGCCCTGGGGCCCTGGTGTCAATGTCTTTCATAGTTATCATTCTGAGTAGCATGCATTCCAGCCAAATTATGGGCTGGATAGGGCTATACCTAGTGTTTGGGAAATCCAAGAGTGAGTTACTGAGGCTGGGAAAGGCCATTTTTATGGTGACTGATGCTCTGGTCTGATAAGTCCTATTCACACTAGTACATAGTGTATAGAAAGTACACTTTCTATACATTAGCTCTTTAAATTTTCATAATAATCTTCCAAGGCAGTTATTATCATCCCAATAACTAGAGGATACAACTACAGCTCAGAGATTTGATTAGCCCAAGTTCAACTGGCTAGAAAATGGCAGCATTGGTTAGTATTTCTCTCAGATATTAAATCCCATAATTCTTACTTTCCTCTGAAGCAGTAATCGTGTCCACTTGATAGGTGAGGAAACTGAGGCCTAGCAAAGTTAAGGGACTTTTCCAAAGTCAGAGAGCTAAGAATCAGCCAAGTGGGAGTTGGCCCCAACATGAATGCTCTTTCTGCCCCAGCTGTGGGCAGTGGGCGAGCCGGGAGGCGCCCCCACTCCGGCACGCAGGGCAGCCTGTGGGAAGGACACGCAGGGCAGCCTGTGGGAAGGCCTCAGTCCTCAGTGGCTTTGTCAGGCGGGGCGAGCCTTACCTTGGATGTCATCGTTGAACATGCAGTATTTGTTGCGGTATTTGTTGAGCAGGCGGAAGGCATTGGCATTGGCAAAGTCTTCAAACTGGATGAGGCAATTTATTCCAAACCTGTGGGCAGGGAAAGGGAAGCACTCGTGATTGCCTCCCCACAGCCAGTCCCTGGCAGATCCCAGCCTGCCCTGGGGAGTGGGGAGGCACAGGACAGGAGGTAGTGGGGGCAGCATGGCTCCTGCGCTGGGGCTTTTGCCACCTGGCTGGCTCCTGGACTCCTGGGCTCTGCCTGCCCCCATGATGGATGAGGACGGGGAAGGGACAGAGTAGGAACACCGGGTCTGGTGGTCTGCTGAGCCCATATCCCTGGCTCTAATGTAGGCTGGGGGCTGCCATGGGCTATGGATGGCAGACCCTGGGGGGTGATGGCAAGACCTGAGATGGGGCCTGCCCTCCTTGGGGCCTGCGGCCATCTGAAATCCCAGCAGCAAGCTCACTCCCACCCAAGTGCATGCAGAAACCCCCACTTCCCAACCATTGGGGCCTACAGAGCCTCTGCAGCCTGCACATATCTCCCTGGGTGGGTCCTGAGACATGGAGCTCCTCCACCAGACTCTTCTGGGTTCAGGCATTGTGTCCTGCTCAGATGCAAGGAAGGCTGGCAAAGGCCACTACATGAAGGCACTGTCATCTACCCACACTTTGATAAGGGTGTTTGCCAACTTGCAGGTACACAAGAATCAGTTCGTGAGCTTGTTTGAAATACAGAGCCCCAGGCTCATCTGCCAGAGATTCTCGTTCAGTGAGTTTGGGGCAGGGCTTGGGAATGTACCTTTCTTCCCTCCAGGTTTATTGTGGTAGAATTCACAAAAATCATATATTTAAGATGTACAATGGGATACTGTGATATACGTATACATTATGAAATGATGACCACCCCCAGATTGTTTAGATTCTGATAGTCCAGAAGCTCTGAGAAATACTGCCTTAGTGGATGAAGACAATGTCCATTAGCTGCTTGATATGCCTTATTCAAAATCTATGCTACAATTGACTCTTAGATTTCAGGGTCAGGGAAAAGTTTGTATTTCCTACAAAGCAACAGTATTATTCGTAACCCATTTTTCCTGTTGACATTGTGAGAAAGCTGAGCACTCAGTTTTCTGCTTCTGTGATGCAGGCAACCTCAGAGCCCCCTTTCTGCACACACCCTTCCCCTTCCTCCTTTCTTGCTTTTGATCCTCATTGTGATAGTTTGTTCTATTGTGCCTTTTATTGGAAACAAGCATGACACAAATTATTAAAAATTACCTAATACATAGACATACATACATGGGTCCATTTGTCTCTAACAGTATCTGAGTTCACATTCATTGAGAAAAAGTGCCCTGATTGATCAGCCAGGAGTGTTGGGGCAGGAGCTAGGGAGAAGGGGTCTGCCACTCCCAACCTGGTGTGAACCAGAGGCTTGGGACCAGCTGTGGAAAGACAGATTTATGCCCCCACTAGAAAATGTGGTGGTGAGGGGCACACACCTGGGGGCATTTTTCCGATGAGGCTGGTGGCTATGAGGGGTGAGTAGTACTGAATTAGCCCAGAAACTTCTTTTTCAACCTCATGATTTTGTGCCTGGCTTACCCTGCACAATAGAAATCCAGTGGCAGGTAAATATTTGCACTTCTCATGGTCCTTCCAGAACCTTAGTGAGTTGAAGCTGTTGGTGGGAGGACTTGGAGGTGGGTTCATGTGACAGAGGCAGAAATGGAGAGATTGTGACTTGCATAGTCCAGTACTAACAGTGCTGGGCATGGGTCAGCAGGTTTGTGTGCCTAACCTGGCTCGGAGTAGTCTGACACCTGTCACTTCACTCCTCAATTTTGCCTTGGTTTTCCATCTATCAGTGGGCACAGTCATGTCTGCCTGGCCAACTGCAGTGGGCTTTTGTGAGCATGAAAAGCTGGGGTGATTTTTAAATTGTAAAGTGCAAAACACACGTGTCATCTTGGCCACAATTCTTATTTACAGTCACAGAGCAAGTACTATTTGCGGTGAGGAGAAGGGCTCGCTGCATCTCCAGACCCACCATCCAGCCCCCTTCTCGTTATACAGTGAATAAAACTGAAAAAGAAAACCTCCTGTGCACAAATATAATGCTATTCTTGCTGAGCCAAAATTTACTGTGAATTTTTTCCCAGGGTGTGAATTTCATGTATTTGGATTGGGAGGGGGACAGAATGTCTTTGGTTGTTGGTGACATTTTGCTATATATAATCCTCACAAGACTCCCAGTGTTGCTCCACGACTGGCCTGGAGCTAAAATGCCGAAAAGGTCAGACAACAAAGCAATGGGATGCACGTTCTTTCTCTCTTTCTTAAACACACACACATGCGCGCGCACACACACCCACACACCCACACACCCCTCTCCTCCCCCCCACACTTGACCTTTAAGCAATACTACTTTGAGGTAAAAATAAGGTAAGAATTATAAATAAATACCTTTGTTCAGTGCACAATTACTCTTTCATATTAAATTGAGTTTTTTATGAGTAAATTTTTATTTTACTTTTTACTTTTTACCTTTTAAATTTATTTTTTAAATCCAGTGTAGTTACCATGCAGTGTTATATTTTGGATGTACAATACAGTGATTCAACAATTCTATACATTACTCAGTGCTCATCAAGATAAGTGTACTCTTAATCCCCATCACCTGTTTCACCCATCCCCCACCCACCTCCCCTCTGCTAACCATCAGTTTGTTCTCTATAGTTAAGAGTCTGTTTTTTGGTTTGTTTCTTTCCCCCCACTTTGTTCATTTGTTTTGTTTCTTAAATTCCACATGAGTGAAATCATATGGTATAGGTCTTTCTCTGACTGGCTTACTTTGCTTAGCATAATACTCTCTAGTTCCAACCATGTTGTTGCAAATGGCAAGATTTCTTCTTTTATGGCGAATAATATTGTATTGTGTATATATACCACATCTTCTTTATCCATTTATCTATTGACAGACACTTAGGCTGCTTCTGTAATATGGCTATTATAAAGAACACTGCAATAAATATAGAGGTGCATATATCCTTTTGAATTGGTGTTTTCATATTCTTTGGGTAAATAGTAGTGTGATTACTGGGTCATAGGATAGTTCTATTTTTAATTTTTTGAGTAACCTCCATACTGTCTTCCACAGTAACTGGCTGCACCAGTTTGCCTTCCCACCAACAGTGCACTAAGGTTCCTTTTTCTCTACATCCTTGCCAGCACTTGTTTCTTGAGTTTTTAATCGTAATGATTCTGACAGGTGTGAGGTGATATCTCATTGTGGTTTTGATTTGCATTTCCCTCAGATGAGTGATGTTGAACATCTTTTCATATATCTGTTGGCATCTGTATGTCATCTTTGGAGAAATGTCAGTTCATGTCTTCTGCCCATTTTTTACTTGGATTATTTTGGTGTCATCTTTGGAGAAATGTCGGTTCATGTCTTCTGCCCATTTTTTACTTGGATTATTTTGGTGTCATCTTTGGAGAAATGTCGGTTCATGTCTTCTGCCCATTTTTTACTTGGATTATTTTGGTGTTAAGTTGTATAAGTTCTTCACATATTTTGGGTACTAACCCTTTATCAGATATGTCATTTGCAGATATCTTCTCTCATTCTCCCATAGGCTGTCTTTTAGTTTTGTTGGTTGTTTCTTCTGCTATGCAGAAGATTTTATTTTGATGTAGTCCCAATACTTTATTTTTGCTTTTGTTTCCCTTGTCTCAGGAGACATATCTAGAAAGAAGTTCCTTTGGCTGATGTCAGAGAAATTACAGCCTCTATTCTCTTCTAGGATTTTTATGGTTTCAGGTCTCACATTTAGGTCCTTAATCCATTTTGAGTTAATTTTTTGTGTATGGTGTAAGAAAGTGGTCCAGTTTCATTCTTTTGCATGTAGCTGTCCAGTTTTCCCAATACCATTTGTTGACGAGACTGTCTTTTGCCCACTAGATATTCTTTCCTGCTTTGTCGAAGATTAACTGACTATATAATTGTGGGTTTATTTCTGGTCTTTCTATTTTGTTTTATTGACGTGTCTATTTTTTTTTGCCAGTACCATACTGTTTTGATTACTACAGCTTTGTAATATAACTTGAAGTCTGGAATTGGGATACCTTCAGTGTTTGTTTTTTTTTTAAGATTGCTTTGGCTATTCGGGGTCTTTTGTGGTTTCCTACAAATTTTAGGATTGTTTTTTCTAGTTCTGTAAAACATGCTGTTGGTATTTTGATAGGGATTGTATCTGTAGATTGCTTTGGGTAATATAGACATTTTAACAATATTGTTCTTCCAATCCATGAGCATGAAATGTCTTTTGATTTCTTTCTGTTATCTTCAATTTCTTTCATCAATGTTTTATAGTTTTCAGAGTACAGGTCTTTTACCTCTCTGGGTAAGTTTATTTTTAGGTATTTTATTCTTTTTGGTGCAGTCATAAATGGGATTGTTTTCTTAATTTCTCTTTCTGCTGCTTCATTAGCAGTGTATAGAAATACTACAGATTTCTATACATTGGTTTTGTATTCTACAACTTTACTGAATTCATTTATTAGTTCTGGTAGTTTCTTGGTGGAGTCTTCAGGGTTTTCTACATATAGTATCATGTCATCTGCCAATAGTGGAAGTTTTACTTCTTCCTTACCAATTTGGTTGCCTTTTATTTCTTCTTGTTGTCTGATTGCTGTGGCTAGGACTATGTTGAATAAAAGTGGTGAGAGTGGAAATCCTTGTCTTGTACCTGACCTTAGGGGAAAAGTTCTGTTTTTCCCCATTGAGTATGCTGTTAGCTGTGGGTTTTTTATATCTGGACTTTATTATGTTGAGGTATATTCCCTCTAAGCTTACTTTGTTGACGATTTTTATCATAAATGGATGTTGTACTTCATCAAATGCTTTTTCTGCATAACTACTGAAATAATCATATGGTTTTTATCCTTTTTCTTATTGATATGATGTATCATGTTGATTGATTTGCAAATATTGAACCATCCTTGCATCCCAGGAATAAATCCCACTTGACTGTGGTGAATGATTATTTTAATATGTGGTTGGATTCGGTTTTCCAATACTT